TTTGTCCCATAACCAGGGAGACAAAGGCCGGCAGATCTTTATATAGCAAAAGCTACATAGCAAGTTCCAGGCCGGCCACAAGTACAGAATCTCTTTCTTTTTTTAAAATAAAACTTCTTAAAAAGAGATTTATTTACTTACTTATTTTACGTCTATGAGTGCTCTGTCTGCAGGTATGCCTGCATGCCTCAAGAGGGCATCAGATTGCATTACAGATGGTTGTGAGCCATCATTTGGTTGCTGGGAGTTAAACTCAGTACCTCTGGAAAAGGAGCCAGTGTTCTTAACTGCTAAGCCATCTCCCCGCTACCTACTCTTTTCTTTCTTTCTTTCTTTCTTTCTTTCTTTCTTTCTTTCTTTCTTTCTTTCTCTTTCTTTCTTTCTAGCTTTCTTTTCTTTTTTTTTTTTTCAAGGCAAGGTTTCTCTTCATAGTCCTGGCTGTCCTGCAATGCTCTGTAGACCAGGCTGGCCTTGAAATCACAGAGATCCATCACTTCTGCCTCCTGAATGCTGGGATTCTTGTGCCTTGTAAGAATCTCTGTCTCTCTCTCTCTTTGGTTTTTCAAAACAGGGTTTGTATATTCTTGGCTCTCCTGGACTCACTTTGAAGACTAGCCTGGCCTCAAACTCACAGAGATCCGCCTGCCTCTGCCTGCCGAGTGCTGGGATTACACGAGTGTACCACTTTGCCTAGCCCTAAGAATCTCTTTATCATAGGAGAAAAAATATAAAAAATAAAAAAAAGCAGCCCTTTCTCATGATCCATAACTTGGACCCAATAACAAGAATGGGAGAATTTGTGTGATTGACTTCCAGAGAGCCTGTTGTCATCAGAAAGCTTGCAAGCAGCACAATGATACCCTGTGCTGATGAGACCCTGTCTTGTTTCTTCCAAGCCATTGCTTCATTTGAATCAAAGGATACTTTAAAAAAAATTTTATTTTTCAAGACAGGGTTTCTCTGTGTAATAGCTCTGGCTGTGCTAGACTCACTTTGTAGACCAGGCTGGCCTCGAACTCACAAAGATCTACCTGCCTCTACCTCTCTAGTGCTGAAGGTGAAGTGTAGTGGCCTGAGTTGATGATCCTGAACTCCGGAAGTGGAGGCTGTAGGATTAGAATTCAGAGTCATCCTTGGCCACATGTCAAGCAAGTGTGAAGACAGCCTAGGCTATATGAGATCCTAAGAAAAAAGAAAAAAACAAAGTAACCTAATTATAATGAGATGTAATTAGATCAAAGGATTCGGAAGTCCTGGTCTGGCTACAATTTTAGCGGCATTACTTTAGCGTTCTATTCTGATGTGTAAAACATGGGTAGCTGTAATACATATTTCTACTGGAAGATGAGGAAATGGTTCAGTGGTGAAGGGCATTTGTTCTTCCAGGGTACTCAGTTCAGTGCCCAGCACCCACTGTGCTTCACAACCATTTATTTCAAGAGATCTGACACCTTCCGATGCACACACAAACACGCAAGCAAAAGTCATGTACCAACTCAAATGTCTAAAAAAGTTAAGTTTTCTGTTGTTTTAAATTAGGTTTAGGTGTCTTCATCTGCAGGGAAGCTCAAGCCAGCAGAGGTCAGAGGCTTAGGACCCCCCTGGAGCTGGTGTTAAAGACAGTTCTTAGCCACAAAATGTGAGTGCTGGGAAACAACTTCCTCTGGAAGAGCAGAAAGTGCTCTTAGCCACCCCCACCCCCTCAGAATTATTTCTCCTGCTCTGCAAAACATGCTTTGGAGGTGCCAGCAATTGCTGGGCCCATTTTATAGACTGTGAAGCACTCCCTCAAAGATGGCCTCAGAATTCAGGTCCTCGAAAGTATTTCTGAGCTGTGTGCTCTGTGGCTGCTTGTAGGTTAAGTGAACCTATGCCCCCAGCTCTGTCCTGAGGCTGCTCTTCATGTGTGTGCCCCTGTGCCTACGTGTAGGAGTGTACGTGTGTGGAGGCCAGAGGGCAGGACCTGGGTGTCTTCCTCCTCTGGTGCTCTCTGCCTTATCTTTTTCCTGTTTGGTTTTGGTGGTTCTGTGGATCCAGCAAAAGGCCTTATACTGCAAGGCAAGTCAACTGAATTTCATTCTCAGCCCCTTTCCGTCTTATCTTTTGTGACAAGGTCTCTGACTGAACATGTTCACTCAGTCACTGACTGGCCAGTGAGCTCTGGGGATCTGCTGGTCTTCGCTCCCACTGCTTGGGGGACACAGATAAGTGTTGCCATGTCTACCTTTTTAATTTTCACTTTGTGTGTAGGAGTGTGTAGCTCGCATATACGTATACGCGGCACACTATGTTCATAGTGCCCAAGAAGGCATCAGGTCCTCTGAAACTGGATGTTAACGGGGTTGGGAATTGAAACCGGCCTTCTGTAAAAGAAACGTGTGTTCTTCCAGCTGAGCCAGCTCTTCAGCCCCAACCGTTGTTTCTTCTACTTCTTTCATTTTCTTTTTTTAAAGACTTATAAATATACAACATTCTGCCTGCACACCAGATCTTACTATAGATGGTTATGAGCCACCGTGTGGTTGTGAATTGAACTCAGGGCCATTTGGAAGATCAACGAATGTTCTTACCCTCTGGGCCATCTCTCCAGCCCTGCTTCTTCTTTCTTCCTTCTTCCTTCTCTTTCTACTCTAGAGATCCCTCTGCCTCTGCCTCCAGGGTGCTGTGATTAAAGTCATACACCACATCTGGCTTCCCACGTAGCTTGACACAGGGGATGTGTATTCTGGTCCTCATGTCATCATTGTTTGGATGGCTTTTCTCATCATCTCTTGTGGCCATGACCCTGGTCCTCATTGTTGGGGGAGGAGGAGGGAGGTGATAGGGGAAAATAGCTGCGTGTGAGGTTTCTTAACAAGCTAGTCACAGTTAATTCTGTAAGATTGACTGGACAGAGACTTGCCTAGGAAATTAAGGACAATTGGGCGTCTGTGAGCTACACAGTGAAACTCAGACCAAAACAAAAGCCTGCTGCTGGTGGTGCACATCTTTAATCCCAGCACTCAGGAGGCAGAGGCTCTGAGTTTGAGGCCAGCCTGTTCTACAAAGCCAGGACTACACAGAGAAACCCTGCCTCCAAAAACAAAAACAAAAAGCTGGGTGTGTGGCACTCACTTTTTAATCTTTAGTCCGAGCACACAGGAGGCAGAAGCAGGCTGACTTCTGTAATTTGAGGCCAGCCTTTCCCTATGTAGTGAGTTCCAGGACAGCCAGGGATATGTAGAGAGACCTTGTCTCAAAAATAAAAGGTTAAAAGAGTGGAGAGGGCTGAGTGGGCAAAGCACAGCATGAGGACCTGACTTCAGGTCTCCAGGACCCCCAGCTGAACACTGTGGCACAAACCTGTAATTTCAGCAGACTACATCTGCCCGGGAGGAGGCAGAATCTCCAGAAGTCTGTGGGCCCATTAGTCTGGGAAAGGAAGTAGTGAAGGAAACCCTGCCTTGCCTCAAAACATGGTAGAGGGCTGGTGAGAAGACTGAGTGAGTGGGCTTTCTGGAAGGAGATAACGACTCCACAAAAATTTGACTACCACACTTTGCTCACATGTAATAAAAATATCTCCACTGGGTATGGTGGTGCACGCCTTTAATCCCAGCACTCGGGAGGCAGAGGCAGGCAGATCTCTGAGTCTAAGGCCAGCCTGATTTATAGAGGGATCCCAGAGCCACACACAGAGAAACCCTGTCTCAAAAAACCAAACCGAAACAAAAGGACAAAATGGAAAGTGTAGATTGACCCCTTAATTGTCTGACTTCCACGTGCAGGCCCTAGCATATGTGTGCCTGTAGGCTACTCAAATGTATGCACATATACACAGATATCCCGCCATAACTCGGGCCTTTAAAACCTTGCAGTCAAAACTTAATAGAAGGAATCCTCTTTAGCATCGCCTCTTACATGATTTAACAGGAAGGATATTTTTTTTCTAAGAACAAGGTGTTAAGACTAGGCAGGGTGGCACATATTTTTAATTACATCCTAGGTTACCTAGACAGACCCTATCTTAAGAAAAAAACAACAAACAAAAAAGCAAAACTTTTTTTTTTTTTCATGTAGAATAAACCAGGCACGGGGGTGGTGCAGCATATAGTCCCAGCACCGAACGGGTGAGAGGAGGATCAGGAGTTCAAGGCCCATTGGGGATATAGACCCTGTCTCAAAACAAACAAAACAAAACTGAATCAAACTAAAGAAGTAAACGTTAAAAAAGAAGTTAAAAAGAAAAACTAAGGGGGCTGAGGAAATGGCTTCGAGGTTAAGAGCACTGGCTGCTCTCCCAGAGGTCCTGAGTTCAATTCCCAGCAACCACATGGTGGCTCACAACCAACTAAAAGTAGATCTGGTGCCCTCTTCTGGCCTGGAGGCATACAAGCAGGCAGAACACTATACATAAAAAGTAAATCTTACGAGAAAAAGTAAAAAATAAAAACTAAACACGAACGCCGTGAGTATCTATTGCTGTCAAGCCGAGACTGGGAATACCACGGTCTAACGTTCACGGCGTCAGACCTCCAGGGACGAAAGCAGCCAGCATGGTTGTAAGAGAGGGCAGGAGCACCAGCGTCCCGGGATACCGGGGTTTAGGAGGCCGCCCTGGAGGCCTCGGCTGCGCCCAGGAGCACCCGGTGTTCGGCTACTTCCTTCGGGCGACCTTGGGGTTAGGGACTTCCTCTGGCTCATTCTCCTCTGTCGGGAGGCCAAGGCTGCTAGTGTGTGGCGGGTTGTAAGGAGGGGGTGACGGACTGCCGGCGGGCTGTCGGAAGACCGTGTCCCCGGCCGCCGGGGACATCTCGGGTGCCGGGCCGCTGACCGGAACCGTACGCAGTTCGGCGACTCGCGCGCGTTCTAAAATGAGGACAAAGCCCGCCCGGATCTAGAGCGCGCGCGCGTCAGCGACCAATGAGGTGCCGGGACAATGGTGAGTGGCGGTTCGCGCCGGCCAATGAGAGCACCCCTTGTTACGAGGTGGGTCCCGGCTCCGGCATTATAAAGAGCTCCACGAGTTGGCATTGTCAGGCGGTGGCACCGCGCGGGACGGAGCTGAGGTCTGGTGTGTCGGCGGCGTACGGCGGCTGCCGAGCGGAGCGCCAGCGTCGGCGGACGCGGACGAGCCCCCGGGGGGTGCGAGCGTGACCGCGGCCAAGCCCGCGTCGCTTTCCGCGGCGAGTAGGGCCTCGCGGCGTCATCGGCGGCGAGGTTAGCGGCCGGGCCGGGCCGCGGGCGGTGGGCGGGAGCTCGGGGAGTGCCGCGGGGCCTGACGCGCCGCCGCCGCCGCTCGTTGCAGGAGCCGCTGCGGCCTGGCCGACCATGTCGGACGCGGCTGAGGAACAGCCCATGGAGACCACGGGCGCCACCGAGAACGGACACGAGGCCGCCCCCGAAGGCGAGGCCCCGGTCGAGCCCGGCGCCGGGGCAGCGGCCCCCGCGGCCCCGGCCGCGTCCGGGGGCGGGACCGCGGCCGCCCCGAGCGGGAACCAGAACGGCGCCGAGGGCGACCAGATCAACGCCAGCAAGAACGAGGAGGACGCGGGGTAGGTGCGGCCGCGGGCCGCCGCCTTTGTTCCGGGGCAGTCTTTTGTTGGCGCCACGCGGCGGGGGGAGGGGCGGGCGGCCCGCCGAGCGGTGCCTGGCGCGGCCGCCGGCGGGCCCGGCCGCGGCCGCGCGCCCTGGAGTTTGCAGGAGTTTGCGGGGCCGACCTTGCGGCCGCCTCGGGCCGCCCGCGCGGACCTGAGGCTGCAGCGGGCCTCTCGGCCGGGCGGCCCCGGAAGAGGAAAAGCGGCCGGCCGCGAATCGGGCGGCGAGGGCTGCGTCTGGGCTGCGTGGGTGGAGTTGGCGCGCGGCGGGTCGAGGGGCGGAGTCACGGCCTGAACCCTGGGGCGGTCTCGGCCCCAGGAAACCCAGAGTTCCTTGGGACAGGTTCTTCGGAGGCGGGGAAGAACGGAAAGGGAGCTCGCGTAGGGAGGCAAATGAGTGCAAGACACGCGAATTCAAACTTGTGAGGGGTCATGGGTTACGTTCTTGGCCAGGTGGCTCTCTTCCCGCACAGTATGTGGGTAGACAATCCTATTCAGCTGTGTGTTCTAGTTGAGCCGAGATGGCAGAGCAACCCTGGAGGGATTAACTAGGAAAGGGGGCACCATCGCAGGCTGGTTTGTGGGACGGTGGACTCACAAGCACTTGTCAACAAAAGTGTATCCGGGGTCAGACTTTTCTAAAAAGTCACAGCTCGCTTCTAAGATTGGTGACCCTGTCTCACTTTCAGAAAAATGTTCGTTGGTGGTTTGAGCTGGGATACCAGCAAAAAAGACTTAAAGGATTATTTTACTAAGTTTGGAGAGGTCGTTGATTGTACAATAAAAATGGATCCTAACACTGGACGCTCAAGAGGGTTTGGGTTTATCCTCTTCAAAGATTCTTCCAGTGTGGAGAAGGTAAGCTGGGTATTTAGCAGTCTTTATTAGGATTCTGATCCTAAGGAACTTACGTGCACTGCAGAAGATGATTGGGACAGAGTCTAGTTAGGTTCCTGTTTTGAGGGATAGTGCAGGTTAAGTGGGATACTACGTGAGGCAGTGATTTTGGGGGATTACAGTTCATACTGCTTTAAGAGTGTATTGAGTGTCCTGCAGGAGGGTAGTGGGCTGGGCAGGAGCTAGAGTACTGCTTTTAGCCTTCCCTTACTATCTCTTTTATATGCCTATTCATGGGCTTGGTGTTGTGTTATAAATACTTCACTGTAGGGGATTAAAAGTTCAAGATTGCTGGGAGGGTAGGTATTTTTGTCCAATTTAAATGAGGATGGGACTACAAATCTCAAGTGCATGCAATTACTTGGTAGAGTGAGTATTTTGGCACTAGAGGATCCTGTGTTCTTGGTCACTGCTACTTTATTAAAAGGAGGTGGGACTACTGGTTAGGAAGAGTACTGATCATGTCCCAAGGTTTGGTGGGGCATAGGCGCTCAGGTGATCATCTTTATGGGAGGTTTGGAGAACTTTGGGTTGGAAGTCCATTTAGCTTAGCTCCAGAGAGAATTAAGCCCATTTTGCGTGTACTTGTGTTGGTTAGACTCTGGCACATTCTGTTTTACACAGGTCTTAGACCAGAAGGAACACAGGCTGGATGGTCGTGTCATTGACCCTAAAAAGGCTATGGCTATGAAAAAGGATCCTGTGAAGAAAATCTTTGTGGGAGGTCTGAACCCTGAAGCCACAGAGGAAAAGATCAGAGAATACTTTGGCCAGTTTGGGGAGGTGAGTTGTGGCTTTGTTGGCCTTGCCTGGATGGAGTATTAATGGGGTTTTCTCACCTTCAGTGGTTTGGTCTTAATCTGTTCTGGGGTACCAGAGGTTTAATTGAACTTTGCTAATGTTTTTACAGATTGAGGCCATTGAGCTTCCAATAGATCCCAAGTTGAACAAAAGACGGGGCTTTGTTTTTATTACATTTAAAGAGGAAGATCCTGTGAAGAAAGTTCTGGAGAAAAAATTTCATACTGTCAGCGGAAGCAAGGTAAGGTGTCACAACTGCCTCACCTGCTTTTGGCTCTGGGAGGTATGGAATTAAGGTTCAACTACCTGTAAGATCCCTCTAGGTTAGTATGACCTACAGCACACAATGTTGATTAAAACAGATAGTCTGGTCCTTTAAGGAGATGCTGGGCTGGAATTAGCTGGCTCAGTGGCTAAGAGCACTTGCTCTTCAGGCGGACCATGGTTCATTCCTAGCACCCATGGTGGCCCACAGCCACCTATAATCCTGTAACCACAGTTCAAGGGATCTGATGTTCTGGCCTCTGTAAGCATCACATTGTTCCCACAAAGCACGTTATAAAAACTAAAACAGTTGTAAAAGAGGCAAAAGAGGAAGTCCTGTGACTAGATTTTTTGGTTAAGTCTTAGAGTTGAGTCAATAGTGTACAGTCCACGGTTTATGAGACCTGCAGTGATCTTATAGAAGTCATTAACCAGTAAGTAGGTTTCCATCTGTACTGGTGTTCTTCCTGCTCCAGAGCTTTGCTGCTGCTAATTCTTGTCCCATTTGGTCAACCTTACTGCAAGGCCTAAAAAGCTCCCTGGGATCCTATTAACTGCAAATGTGGAGGCGTGTTAGTGGAGTAATAGATTTCAAGTTGGTTAGGAGGGTTGAAGGTGTGGCTGGCGGTGGCTTACTGGAGAACTGGAGTGGCTGCCAGATAAGGTAGGGTGGGGCTCCAGAAAGGTTCTCCCATTCTCATTGGGAGTTATAAAAGCTTGGGTTGGGGATTAAAGCAGGCAGTTGGGTGGGGCATTCTTAGTTATGCCTGTGGACAACTGCTTTCTTTTTTGGTGTGCCCTAATATGAAGTAGTAGGAATAGCCTTGATTCTCTGTGGTAGTGAAAAAAATGTTACTGGTGGGCCTTAGAAGTAAATACTCTTATTTGTCTTTAATGTAAGATAAAGTAGAAGGTGTGGCTTGATAGGAAGATGTAATGCATCCTTCCACCCCCTTTTGAGACAGCATCATACTGCTGCCCGCCCAGCAGGACTAGAAAACTCCCTCCATAACAGGCTTTTGCCTCCCAGTGAGCTGGGATTAAAGGCATGTGTCATGCCCAGCTCATCTTCACTGTGTTTGTGTTTTTTCCCCCCTCTCCTTTAATGTTATTGTGTCGGGACTGTCTTTTAAAACATACCATTAAAGTAGAAGCATTTATACCTTTTAAAGTTTTCAGGCATTAAAGTTGAGTCTGACTGGGTCCTGTTCAGATTTAGGGATAAACCTATCTCAGGAATTGACCAATGCTTAGGAGAGTGGCTGGCATTAAGGCTTCCAACAAAGCCTCACACACTTGCTTTATCTGTAAGGTGGAGGTCATCTTGCCGTCCTGTTAAGAGGATGAGTATCTTCTGTGAAAAGAAAAGAATAAAAACCTTAGTGGGCTGCCCACTTCTGAGCATTGGCTACTGTAGAGGTCTTTGCTGCATTCTGGCCCTGAGCTTGTCCCACAGGACTTGACCCAGTGTCCTCTTGGCTTTTAGTGTGAAATCAAGGTTGCCCAGCCCAAAGAGGTGTATCAGCAACAGCAGTATGGCTCTGGGGGCCGAGGAAATCGCAATCGAGGGAACCGAGGCAGTGGTGGAGGTAAGTGGAAGCCGGATGAAGACTCCCTGCTTGCAAGTAGCTTTTCATGCCTGTCTTGGGATTGCCTCTTGGTGTTCTGTGCAGTAGGGTAGGGGTGGGCGGGCTGGGTGTGCAGCGGGTACAGCTCAGGGACAGGAATGGTTTTTCCGGGGTGGAGGCTGTGTGCTTGTGCTGCTATGGCTCAATGGCTTCACGGAATGAAAGAGCCTTATCTCTCACTTGTGCAGCTTGGGGCTCCCAGGCCAAGGGGACATTTGCATTGCATTGGGAAGAATGGTGGGGGCACACTGGGTTGTGCTTAGCTTTGTGGCTGTCCTGAGTCTCGGTACACGCATACCTGTGGGCAGAAAGGCAAAGCTGTGCCAGGCGCTTAGCTCCTTCCATCCCAGGCCCCTCTAACTCCAAAGCCTGAACTGCATCTTTTTCAAGGCAAAGCTGCCAAGGGAGGGTGGAGGTGATCAGAGGGTGATTTGAGTGAGTGTGAGTAAGCTTCCTGTATTCCCAAGTGAAGTTAATTGGCATCCTGACCTCCTGGATTGCAACGCTGGGCCTAGGGCCCTCTATATCAGAACAGTAGCCTCTTGGCTTCTACCTGAGTTGCCATAGTAACCCCGCCACCCAAAGGGCAGGATTTCCTCCATCCTAGCTCCTACGTGTGCTAAATGGTACATGGGCCCCTGTGCCCTGCTCCCCCCACAGGTCAGAGTCAGAGTTGGAATCAGGGCTACGGCAACTACTGGAACCAGGGCTACGGCTACCAGCAGGGCTACGGGCCCGGCTATGGCGGCTACGACTACTCGCCTTATGGCTATTACGGCTACGGGCCCGGCTACGACTACAGTAAGTAGGAGAGGGAGGCCCCATCTTACTTCCTCCCAGGGGAGGCAGGTCAGGTAGTGCAGGGGCCACTTGGCAGCAGGGGCTTTGGAGTCAGACAGGCCTGGCTCAGGCACTGGAGCTACCGAATGGAGCTCTAGTTCAGCCTTCTCAGTAAGGTGTGAGAAGCTGGTGTTGCTGTGCAGAGGTGAAATTGTGAGGATGTGTGGCAAGCGCCTGGCACTGGGTAGATGTACACTTAAGTAGTAGCTACAATGTTGTTCTTATTCCTAGGTCAGGGTAGTACAAATTACGGGAAGAGCCAGCGACGCGGTGGCCATCAGAATAACTACAAGCCATACTGAGAGGCAGCAGAAGCGGCCGACTGACGACCGCACACGCTTTGTTTGGACGCGGAGTGAACACAATTATGTACCAAATTTAACTTGGCAAACTTTTATGGCCTGTCCCATGTGCATCTTATTTAAAATTTACCCCAGAAATCACTCTCCTGTTTACTATTCCAGAGCTCTAGTTGTTTGTAGGCAGCGTGTGGTGTCTCAAGAGGCCAGAGCGGCATTAGGGGGCTGATTTTATTACCAGGTTACCGTGTTCTAGATTGGAGGGTCTGCTTCCTGCTGCCGCTCTGCAGCCTGGACCCTGTGGACCCTGGTTGTAAAGAGTAAACTGTATCTTAGGAAACCAGTGTCACCTTTTTCACCTTTTAATTTTATATTATTTGTGTCATACATTTCCAGTAATGGAAGTGTTAATTTTACTGTACTTTTTGGTACCTTTTGGGAATCTAATGTATTGTAAGGTATTTTACACGTGTCCTGATTTTGCCACGACCTGGATATTGAAGCTATCCAAGCTTTTGAAATAAAAATTAAAAAACCCCCAAGCCTGGGTGAGTGTGGGATGCTCTGTGAGACCTTGCCCAGTGTTGGAGGTGCCAGATGCTCTGGGACTAGGGTCTCCTGTAGCAGGGGTTCTCTACCTATTTTCCCACTCCATCTTTTCAGCTACCATTTTGTGCCCATAGCCTCCATATCTAGAGAACATCCTGTCACATAGTATGCTCCACATCCTTAGTTTCTATCTAGCAAATACAAGTTGAAGTGTTTGGGATCTGTTGGTGGAGGTGGGGCCAAACACAAGTGAGTCCTGATTACCTGGAGGGTGCTTGACTGAGCTGGGCTGGATCCTCAGTGTCTCACAGCTTCTTACTTTTTCTTCCATGTCTGGAAAGATGACCACAGATGACCACAGATCTGCCTACCATGCTTCCTCATTCTCTGCTATACTTGGTTTTTAGGATGCCTGGGACGATAGTTTTAGAGGTTAGGCCCAATTGTCTATTCAGGCTTATGTCCCATCATTTCCCTAACAGATGGTCCCAAAGCAGTTCTGTCAAGTCACCAAACTGTTCTGTACATAGAATCCTTTCAGAGATGTACCAACTACAAACATCCACTAGGGATTGGGCTTAACTGGTTAAATGATAGGAGTAGCAGAGGTTCCTTGCTGGCTTTTTTTTTTTGTCGGTATCTGAGCTTTGTAACAACACTTTGGCATATAGCCTTTTCCAGTTTGGTAGTTTGCTTAAATAAATTGAGGGAGACCTTGAGCTGCTCTTGACCTTCTTGAGTGATTTAGAGGTTATGGGGAGAGTTTGTGTGCAGTCAGCCATTCATTTTAGCCACTTAGCAGCTGACATTCTCTAGCTTGGAAGATAAAAATGAAGTTCCTGTCAATATTCGGTGCATGTGTAAGCGCGCAGTGAGATTTCTTTTTTCCCCCCATTTGGTTTTTAGAGAACAGCTTAAACCCAGGCTGTTCTGGGTCAGGCTGGGGTTGAATTGTGTTTTACTGATAGGCCTAACATGAGGGCATTTTCTTCTGGTTTTTTGAGACAGGGTTTTCCTGTATAGCCTTGGCTGTCTTGGAATTCACTCTGTAAACCAGGGTGGCCTCCCAACTATAGAGATCTGCCTGCCTCTGCCTCCCAAGTGCTCGGATTAAATGTGTATATCACCACCACCTGGCTTATTTTTTTTTCTAATGATAAGGCCTAGGTAGTCTAGGATTACTTTGAACGTGTGATCTCCATCCCACCTACCAAATGCTGGGATCATAGGTGGTCACCAAGTCCAGCTCTGCATTCCATGTTGTTTGACAGTGCATGTGGTACAGGCCACTTAAAGTTTTCTGATCTAGAAGATACTTGGCTTATCTTGTAACAGGCTTGCTAGTGCATGCTGGGAGGCTCTAGTTACTGGTCTTACCTAATTAATGTTGAGGATTGAACCCAGGACCTGATACATACTCCACAGGGGTTCTTCCAAGCTTACCTGTTAGAATGTCATCCAACTTTGCTACCACATCTTGTGCATTGTCCAGGCTGAAGCACATTGGAGGCTTGAACTTGAGGACATTCTTACCAGGGCCATCAGTGCTCAGTAAAATGTAGTTCTCCTTCAGCCTGCAGGAAGACACTTTGCAGACAGTTCTCATCCTGTGTCCTGTAACTATCTGAAGGTAACCTTAAACAGGCACCCGCCATACCTGACATCTGGCCAATCAACTGATCCCCATTCAAGGTACACTGTTGATTATGCTGAGCCTACCATTGTCTTGTTGCACAGCTCTGGCTGTCTTAGAACTTGTTCTGCAGACCAGCTGGCCTTGAACTCAGATCCACCCGGGTGTCACGACAGTTTTTAGTTTTTTAAATCTGAGTTTCACAAGGTTTTTACCAAGTTGCCCAGGCCTTAATGGCCTGATTATTATAGTCCAAGCTACCATATCAGCATGCCCACCCCACTCCACATTACCAGCAGCTAGTCTAGGTACTGGTGACAGGCCTACGGAATGATCATATTTTTTTACTCCCCAGATTTTGTTCTAGAAAGTTTTGGGTCAAACCCAGGACAGTATACAGCCCAGTTAGGGTGACTGATTAAAACAGTAGCCTAGGCCCTGCCTTCTATACCTGACAGTTTACATCCCTGATCCTTACTGGAGTGGATTGAGTCAGTAACATTTAACAATGAATAAAGGTGGGTTCAAATTTTTTTCATGGCTAAGGTAGGTTCAGTAGAAGGGGTGGCTGTTTTAGGTTGGCTGCTACAGGTTTTCAGCCAAATATTAGAAAGCTGAAAACTCATTGCTCTAGGCTAGATGGTCCCTTGGGAAGACAACTTAATTTCAAGAAAAAGTACCTGGAGACCAAATATTCTGCCTCTTCAGTTGCTGGTGTCCTCAGGGTCTCATCTTTGATCAGATCCACACCAATAAAGAGCCCAGTGCCCCTGAAAGAGAAGACATCATTACAGCCATGGTCCTTGCCTCACTCTGTCCTGTCTTCAGCCACCCTTCTTTCACCCTGGAGTAATCTTGGTGTGGGATGGAGGGCTTCAGAATCCCAATTTCATGTAGAGAGTAGATGTAGGATGTAGACTTTTTTTTTTTAAATCCCAAGGTAGGAAAATGGAATAGTTCTAAACTACTAGCAGGTATTTTATTTTGGTTAGTGTGCCTGTTGCTCCCAGAACCATACCTGATATCTCCAATGATAGGGTGCTTGGCTTTCTGCTGGCTGAGGTGCTCCATTAAGAAACTGCCCACTTTAGTGGCATGAGCCTGGAGCTGTTCTGTTTTCAATACATCCAGGACTGCTAGACCCACAGCACAGGACACTGGGTTGCCACCAAACTGATCCAGGGGACAGAAAAGTCAGATACTCTGCCAAATGGGCCATGATCCCAAAAAATCGCCACAAAAAGACATTTGAGAAGGCTACAGGCCCAAAGCTGGTGCTTTGGGCTGACAGACTAAACTAATCTGGGGATCCCTATGAATTCTACTTGTCTTCCTGTGTCTTCAACCCAGACCAGGCATAAGAGGTAAGAGAACTGGTCCAGCCTTTTCTGGCCTCTGGACACCAGGCATACCCTTGGCACACAAAGATACGGGTAAAATACCCATACACATCTATCTTTTGTTTTTTTCTGAGACAAGGTTTCTCTGTGTAGCTTGGTTGTCCTGGACTCTTTGAAGATCAGGCTGGCCTGGAAATGACAGTGATTTCACACCTGCCTCTGCCTCCCCTGACTGCTGGGATTAAAGGTGTGTACCACCAAGCCCGGCTAACACAAATCTTTTGAAAAGCCAAACAAGCTGAAACGGCCTAGGGATTTGGCTCAGTTGTTTCTGCCTCCCAAGTAGTGGGGGCACATGCCTTTAATACCAGCAGAGGCATTTGGATCACTGAGTTCCAGGACAGCCTGGTTTACAGATTGAGTCCTGGTACAGCCAGGGCTACACAGAGAAATCCTGTCTTAAGAATAAACAAATAAATAAAAAAAGCGGCGGGGGGGGGGGGGGGGGTGGTAGGACCGGTGGCAAACACCTTTAATACCAGCACATTCCAGAGGCAGGTAGGTCTCTTGTTTGAGGCCAGCCTGGTCTACATTGTAGGCTAACTAGGCTAACTAGGGCTATATTGTAAGAAGAGAGAGAGTGTATGTGTGTGTGTGTTGTGTTTTCAACCTAACCTTGCATGTTGATGTTATCAGGAAACTTTTTTTTTTTTTTTTCAGACCATCTTCTCACTGGGGGCAGACCCATTAGACTATGCTAGCTGTCTAGCAAGCCTAGGAATCCAGTCTCTGCCTTCCTAACTGAGATTACAGGCGTATGCCACTAAACCTGGCTTTTTACATGGGTTCTGGAGATTGGACTCAATCCTTATGTTTGCAGGGCAAACTGCTTTATGGACTGAACTATCATGTCAGTTCCTTACAATTTTTGTTTGGGTTTTCTTCAAGACAGGGTTTTTCTGTGTGGCCCTGGCTGTCCTGGACTCATTTTGTAGACCAGGTTGGCCTCAGACTCAAGAGATCCACCTGCCTTCCTGGGTGCTGGTGTTAAAGGCATCTGCCACCATGCCCAGCCTTCTTATGGGGTATTTGTGTATGTTTTGTTTTTAATTGTGTGTGAGAAGGGAGGAGGAGAATAAGACAACCTCTAAGGGATAAAGTTTAGTGACAGAATATTTGGGCAACCCCCACTGCCCTGATCTATAAAGATGTCTTTTTTTGTGTGTGGTTCTAGGATCAAATCAAGGGTCTTGTACCTGCTAACCATGTGCTCTACCACTGAGCTATACTTCCAGCCCAGAAACATCACTATCGATAAATATGAGCATTCCTATACATTGGACAAGATACTCAATGCCCTATAGGTATTTAGCTGAATTGAAAGCACCTCTCACCCAGGGTAGTGAGATAGCTATTTTTACATAGGTTATTTATTTATTTATTTAGAGATTAAGCAATAATTCCTTAGAGCACAAGCAACAACCACCAAAAAATTAGTTTGGGTCATCTTAGATGTACTTTTCATTTTTATTCATTTTTTTGAAGTAGGGCTTCACTGTGTAGCCCTTGCTGGCCTATGGCTATGTAGACTAGGCTATTCTAGAACTCAACAGTCCACCTGCGTTTGCCTTCTGAGTGCTGGAACTAAAGGCATGTACCAATCTGGTTTCATATAAAATTGTAAAAATTTGGGGACATGGTGGTGGCACATGTCTTTAATCCAAGTACTTGGGAAGAGACAGGTGGATCTATGCGTTCGAGGCTAGTCTGGTCTAAAAAGTGAGTTTTAGGACAGCCATGGTTACATAGAGAAACCTGTCTTGAGAAAGCAAAAAAAAAAAAAAAAAAAGACTCTGTGGGCCATTAAAGATGGCCCGGGAGCTCAGTAAGAGCCAGCTGTGCAAGCCTGATGACATGAGTTTGATCCCTGGAATTCAAGTAAAAAGCCAAATGTATCAAGTAGCACAGTGGTGCAATGCCTTTAATCCCAGAACTTGGAGCCTGATTGACAGTGAGTTCTAGTCTGGCCAGGGCAACATAATGAGATCTGTCTCAAAAACAGAACAGAGGTGTGATTGATAATGTTTATGTTTTTTCACAAATATGTAAAGGAAGTGAAGACAACTGTCAACTGACTGAACATATAGTCTACACACCGGGAGGACACTAACCTTAATCTAGATATGTGTGCCTGGAGGGGTATCTCCCACGGAAACACACAGACAAATGCATATACACAGAAATTTCCCCAAGCACTAGCAACTAAAGAATGGAAACAGACCAACCATCATTCCACAGAAGAGGTTGGAATCCGGGGACAGTAAACAGGAAGAGAACTGTACAGAGAGGCTCAGTAGCCTTTGTCTACAAACCTGAAGCCCAGAGTTTTATCCTTGGGACCCACATTGGTGGAAGGGGAGAATTGATTCCTGCAAGTTGTCCATTGTCATAAGCACAGAACAAAGTACATAAAGTAAATCTATTAAAACTCAGCTGGGCAGTGGTGGCGCATGCCTTTAATCCCAGCACTTGGGAGTCCGAGGCACGTGGATCTCTTAAGTTTGAGGACAGCCTCATCTACAGAGTGAGTTCCAGGATAGCCAGGGCTACACAGAGAAACTCTTTGTCTCAACCAACCAACCAAAAATAAAATAAAAAACTCTAAATTTTGCTTCACAAAATCTGAATTTGGGGAGCAGCCTGTCAAAACCACATGGATCACCATTTTATATCTCCCTTGACTGACAAAAACTTAGTTGATGAGCCTCTGGAGCATGGAGGCACTCCTGTAATCCTGGCACTCAGCTGGGACAGACAGATTGCCGTCAGTTTCAAGTGAGATGGAGTAAGTACCAGGTCAGCTAGGGCTTCACAGTAAGAGCCTATCACAAAACAGTCCCCAAGCAATACACTACGGGTGAGCTGTTCTGACCTGTAAACTACTTGGGAAAACATGTTATTATCTTCTAAAACAGTATGGACACACCCTCTGGCCAGCAGTTCCACTTCTGGGTTAATTTGTAACTGATCTTTCTGTACAGGGAGAACAGACTGTTAAAAAATTTTCACAGTAGCACAGAGAAGAACCTCAAAGCACACCAACAGATATGGATGAGTCAAATGTGAATGTTATAAAAGAGGGAAAATGAGAGTGACAAACAATATAAATGGGTCTTCGTAATATGTCAGGTGAAAACCCACAAAATCCCAAGTTCACATGCATTATGAGAGGGTTCAAAGAAAGTAAAAAAAAGCCATTAGAACAACTAACTTGGGTTCAGTCACCAGTCAGGGTACAAACAGCAGGGTAATGCAAGGTAGAGTCAGGATCCTTTTTTTTTTTTTTTTTTTTTCTTTTTCTCCTTCAAGACAAGGTTTCTCTGTGTGGCCTTGGTTGTTTTGGAACTTTCTGTGTAGACCAGGCTGACCTCTGCCTCCCAAGCACTGGGACTAAAGGTGTGTGTCATCACTGCCTGACAGAAGGTCCTAATTTTTTTTTTTTTTTTTTTTTTAAATCTAAGGTGAAAGCTGCTTGTGAGTTACAAGTAACCAAATAGAGCCAGTGAGGTAGCTTAACGGGTTAAGGCACCTGTTGCCAAGTGTGGTGGACTGCGTTAGATAAAAGGAACAAATGACCCTTGAAAGCTGTGTTCTGACCTCCACACATGAATAGCCACATAGACCCCCATATACAAACAAATAAATGTAAAAGCCTTAACAAAAATAACCAAGTACCCAGCTAACTAGAGGAGGGCTAGACAGGGACAAGGGCTGAATTTAGCTTATGCATTTAGGAGAGCAGGGTCAGGCCCCATTGGGCCACCTGCCCTCCAGGTAACAATCCTCCCCCTGCAGCTGCTAACCACTACTCACCTACAGATTTTGATCCTGACTTCAGTCTCTTTTACCTATCCCTCAGCCCTGTGTCTACTTCCTGTCTGGGTGTCCATTCTGCTGTCACAGCAGACCATGTCCACTAAGCTAGGCTCTCCAGTGTCACAGTCTATGAGTGTGTCTTGCCCTGACATGAAGCCACTCAGGGCAGAGGCTGTTTGTCATTTGGGCACAAAGTGAAGTCTACTGAAAGCACCAGAGCAGATGCTACTTCCCTTGCTTACAGTGACCCTCATTGCCTGTCTGACATCTTGCCAAATGCTGACTTCCCTAAAAATTCAAACAGCTTTTGGTGGAAGTCATAGTGAGTACTCTTTCTTGCTTTTGGCCAGATCCAATCTCCTGACTCCGTTTTTTTCTCTTCACTGATGGCCAGAAATTTTTCCACAGGGAGCTTCAGACCTCATCTTTGTGTGAAGGAAAACCTTTCTTGGGAGCCAGGGTGGCTCAGTAGTAGAGCGTTTGCAAAGCACTAATAGGCCTGGGTTTGATCACCAGCACTTTGAAACAAAAGACCAAAATAGCAAAGCCAAGCAGCACACCCCTCAAGTAGTTTCTGTCTCTTCAGGATTACTGACTGTCTCTGTGCAGCCAAGGATCTGCTGCTGCACCCACCCTGCACTGCTGTCTCCGAGCCACTGAGCTTCGTGTGTCAGCTTCAGGTAGGAAAGCCCGGGCCTGTGCTCCAAGGACAGGCCAAAGGCTTTCCGTCCATGACATTGTATAGACCTTTTGTCTCCCAGGCTGACCAAGCCTCTCATGTTCCTCAGTTTTCTACTTCAGCATCTGCCACAGGTAGGCAGCTTCTCCTGTGTGTTTTATACAGCCTTTTCTGTGACAGATTTGGATTCACATTGATTCTGAAAGAGGTTTTACATTATTATTAAAAAAAAAAAAAAAGTGACCTGGGCCAGGTGTGATAGCACACATCTTTAATTCTAGCACTTGAGAGGCAGAGGCAGATGGATCTCTGTGAGTTTGAAGCCAGCCTGTTCTACACATTGAGTTCCAGGCTTGTCAGGCTACACACTGATTGTCTGTCACACACAAACAAAAAACTTGACCTGATTTGTAACTACCCAGAGGATGTGCTGGACACAGTGACAGCCCTGAGGCCTTCACTAAGGATATGGCAATTGAGTGGCAACCGACAGAGCCCTTGTCTTGCAGCTTTACTCACCGTGTTGAAGTATTCTACACCTGTGGCTTCAAATGCCCTCGACACAGCTTGGGTAGTGGCCACGCAGGCAACAGGGTGACCATTGCCGATGGACTTGCCCATGGTGACGATGTCGGGGACAAAGTCTTCTCCCTCCAGTTGGAAGGCCCAAAAGTGCTTGCCTACTCTGCCAAAGCCAACCTGGATCTCATCTGCCACAAAGAGCCCTCCAGCTCTGCGTATGTGCCTGTGGAGGACAGATGGGCATATGGCTGCCTTCTCTGGGCCACTATTTAAGGGTTTCGTTTCAGAAACTTCTGGCAATCAGGCCAGACTGTAGTTGGAATTTGGAACTGACCTCAGGACCCAATGATAGCCTGTCCTCCCTTGGGCAGAGCCTGCCCATCTACTCACTGTGCCGCCTGGGAGAAATAGCCAGCCGGGGGAATGATCTGCCCACCAACACTGGGCAGAGACTCAGCGAAGAAGGCTGCAATCTGTGGATGAGACAGAGTTCAGGGTGCCTTACTAATGTTGATTAACCCTTCCTTTGGGGGATGCTATGTCACATCTGAGAGTGTGACTCACCCTCTTCATGCCTCTATCCCCTTGTACTTGGGTTTGCTCCAGTCAACTAAATTCGCCCATGCACCCCTGCCCCCACATCATAAACCTTTTTTTCCCCTGTCCCTATGTGGTGACCAGCATCAGCCTCATCCTGCCCAGAATAAAAATGTGACTCCATCATTACACTACCCTTTAACGTATCCCTGACACCACTGTCTCATGGCGGTCACATTTCTGAGGCTACTTCTTGTCCCCTGCTACTGAAGATGCTGTTTTGTGTTTTCCTGTTTTTCATATTTACCTCAGGAGGATACTTCAGACACTGAGGTTATATCTGTTCAGCTTAAAACCTTTCACCCATGCATGATTTCCGCAAGGTGTTCTGCCTTAGGGCTTTTTTTGGAGGCCTCTCTGGCACACCGGACAGCTGATGGAATGGGAAATTGCTTTTTCCATATTCACTTATTTTTTATTTTTTGTATTTTTGAGACAGGGTTTCTCTGTGTAGCTCTGGCTGTACTGAATTCACTGTGTAGACCAGGCTGGCTTCAAACTCAGAGATCCAATTAAAGGTATGTGCTACCACACCAGGCTTTCCACCCTTCTTTTTACTTTTTAAAAAATTCCAGGGCTGGAGAGAAATGGCTCAGTGGTTAAGAGCTCTCTGGTGGCTCTTCCAGAGGACCTGGGTTCAAATCCCAGCACCCATATGGTGGCTCATAGCCATCTGTAACTCTGGTCCCTCCCTGGGGATTCAGTTTTCTTTTCTAGATCCCAAGGGCACTGCGCACATATGGTGCAAAGACATACCTGTAGGCAACCCCCCCCCCCACAAAATACTAAAATAATTTTTAAAATTTTATGTAGGATCTCACTAAATTGCTCAGGTGAAGGTGTGGTTACCTTCCTGCCTTTCTTCTGTGCGCTACTGATTACGTGCTTCACCTCGTTGGCATAGGCCTCTGCTGGATTGGGGTGGTCCTCCCGGTAAGGGCCTCGGTAGGTGTCTGGGAGAGGAGCCTGTAGGGAGAGACGCTGCCATGTCATCCAGGCTTGGGGGTAGAAATTGATCTGTTGCTGATGGTAGGCAGGCTTACCACATGGACCCATTCCTTCTGGCCATCCAGGTCCCGGAACTTGTAGGGGCTGATGTCGATTAAGGAGCTCAGGTGACCGTGATAAGCACTAGGGAGGAGGAGGATGTGGGTTTAGGCTCTGGTAAATGATGGCATTTATTCCCTGGCCTAGCCCTAACTGCTGTCTACCACTTTTGAAGACAAAACACAGGAGAAGGCAATCTTCTGACTCAGGTGCCAAGTCCTTGCGCTGGGGATGAGTGCAGGCTTGGAGTGGCTTCCTGCAAGGCCACTTACTGGCATGTCAGTGCTAATTGTCTGACCAACTCTAGGTTCAGTTTTCTCCCCTGTAAAGTTGGGGCATAGGGTTCTAATGCATCTTAAATCGTAACTCAGTTCTAGTGCCCTTTGGTCTCTGGCGCAGTCAACCGAATCTCTGAATGCTGTGGGGCTTATTTCACTCCCCAGCTGCTCTCTCAGAAAGGTGGGCTGAAGACAAGGCCTCCAGGGAGGTGTCATTGGGATCTGGTTTTCAGGCTTCACTGGTTTCCAGTGTCCCTGCATCCTCCTCCTCCCCACTTAAGGCCCCAAGGTCAGAACCTCATTGACCCTTAACAGCACTGTGGGGCCCAGGCTCTGGAGAAGCAGCGCTTTGAGCTGTACCTACTGGTCTAATACCAACACGTCCTGGTGTCCTGTGTACTGGCGAGCCAATCTCAAGGCCAGGTCATTGGCTTCTGACCTGTGGCAGAAAATATAGGCCTGTCTTAGACTACCACTCAAGCATTTCCGGCATCAAGAGCATCCTCAGGACATGGTTCCCTTGGCAAACATCTAGTGCCTTTTGTGTATCAGGGGCAGGGTGAAAACAGAAGCCTTCTCAAAGCTTACATTCTGATGCAGTCATCTTGTTTGTTTTTGAGACAGGGTTTCTCTGTATAACCCTGGCTGTCCTGGACTAACTTTGTAGACCAGGCTGGCCTTAAACTCAGAGAGATCCACTTGCCTCTGCCTCTCTGAGTGCTAGGATTACAAGTGTGTGCCCCACTGCACCCGGCTGAGAAAATACATTTATTTTTCTTTATTTTCCTTTTCTTTTTTAGATAGGATCTCTGTTAGAACTCACTATGTGGCCAGGCTGGCCTCAGTCTCACAGAGATTCCCTGCCTCTGCCTCTCAAGTGCTGGCTTTAAAGGTACATACCACCATGCCAGCCTGAGAAAATAGTTAAACCCCAAGTCTGCAACTGTGTGTTATGGCTGCTCTAGCCATCCATACAGTGAGGTCAGCGATAGACCTGCAAAGAGTTAATACTTGTCCTAAATCCCAAGGAAGAATCTAGGACTCTGGAATGAACACACAGGCCCCTTTCTTTTTGGTATCTTCAACCAACCTTGGGAAGGAAGCCAGGGCAAGGAAGCTGAAGGGAGACCACACTCCCAGGGCTGAATAGAAGGGAAGGAGGAGGGAGTGAGGAGGCCCCGGAGGCTGCCGGCAAGAGAACCATGGGGATAAGCTAAGGGAGATCCTGGGGTAGGGCTGTGTGTGGTTTCTTCCAAGCACCAACAGGTAAGATGGTGTGTGGATGGTGTGTGTCGGGTGAGGGGGGACAGGGCATCAGGGAGAACCAGTACTGTGGTCTCACAAAGGCATTGGTAGAAGGCAGTTCTCTATTTTCCTTTTTATTAAAAAAAAAAAAAATCTCTTTTTTTCAATAGGTTCTCACTGTTTCCCTGCCTGGCCTAAAAGTCACTGTGTCGACCAGGCTGGCCTTGAACTCACTGAGATCCTGCCTGCCTTTGCCTCCCAAGTGCTGGGATTAAAGGTGTGTGCCAACATGCCAAGGAGAAGACAATTCTTGGTTGCTTTTGAATATATGGAGTTGGAGATGACTGTCAGGTGTCAGAAGTTCTACTTAGAACCTTAAGTGGAAAACATGGGAGGCGTCTAGGGTTTAAAAAAAAAATCTTTTATTTTTATGCGAATGTGTGTCTATGTGGGGGTTTTGTTTGTGCAGTGCCAAAGGAGGCCAGAAGAGGGCACTGACGTAGAGTGACAGGAGGTTGTAAGCCCCCTGATGTGGGTGCTGCCAACTGAACTTGGGTCTTCTGCAAGAACATCAAGTGTTGTTCTTAACCAATGAGCTATCTCTCCACCCCCCATTGCAATTAAAAAAATGTATTTTATGTGTATTTTATGCCCGTATGTATGTCTGCATGACATGGTGCCTATTGGGCTCTTTGGACATGTAGTTTTAGAGGGTTGTGAGTTCCCATGTAGGTACTAGGAGTCAAACTTGGGTCCTCTGGAAAAGCAGCCACTATTCTTAACTGTGGAGCCATCTCTCCAGGTCCAACATGTAGGTTTGTGATACAGACTTTTGAGTAACCAGCACATGGATGGATGACATTTATTTCCAAGCAGAAAGATGGAATCACAGAGGGGACAAAAAGGAGAGGTGGGTCCTGCCCACAGAACAGAGGAGAAGCGGCCCTGGCAGCTGGTACACACCAGAGCCTGGAAACGAGAAGAAAAAGCATCTGGGAGGATGACAGCTGTCAAACTGCTGAGAAACGGGCAAGGGAGCATAGAGGTCACAGGACTTGGCAACATAAAGTCCCATAAAGTCACGAAGAGACTTGGTGGAGGGAGACAACAGGACCCTCCCCCAGTGCCCAGCTCCCTGTTCTTCACAGACAGCTTCCAGGCCAGGCTTTTCTTCTCCTCGCTGGCTCCCCGCTCCCTCCCCTCCCCCGCTTTGTACTACTGCAGTGCTAGGGATGGAAAAACCTTGTGCACCCTAGGTAAGCGCTCTGCCAAGTTGATGCCCTTCCACATCTGTGAAATGACGAAGGTGAATTCTACTTCGAAGCCCTCCAGGAGACTGGAGACGAAATGGCAGTGGCACCTGTGGTTGTTACTCTAATGCAAGTGCTATTTGTCGGGATGTTCATTCACACATGTGGTGGTCATCTCCCTGATTCTGTCATCACTGCCATTGCTAGTGCAAGTGCCTAATGCTAGCCACTCCTGCCCTCCCCATCCTGAGAGCATCACCTTCCTGATGAAACTCCTTATGGGGTTCTGGAGAGATGGCTCAGCTGTGAAGAGCACTGGCTGCTCTTCCAGAGGTCCTGTTTTCAGCCCCACATGTCAGCTCACCACCGTTTATGGCTGCAGTTCCAGGAGATCTGAAACCACTTTCTGGCCTCCACAGGCATCAGACATGCACTCACACATATTAAAAACAAATATCAAACACTCATCAGCACCAGGAAGAAAACAAACAAAAACCCCAACCCTCATCCCCAATGATCTATAGCTCTCTAGTATTTTTTTTTTTTTTTTGAGACAGGGTCTCTCCATGTAGCCCTGGCTATCCTAGAACTCACTAGGTAGATCAGGCTGGCTTTGAATTCACAAGAGCTCTGCCTGACTCTGCTGGGATTGAAAGTGTGCACCACCACTGCCTCTAGTGGGCTTAAGCTAAAAACAGCTTCTCTCACTTGGCTGTGGCCCTGGATCCCTTCCCAGGGTCTGCTCACTCTTACTCTTTTGGTTCACCAAGCATTCCTTGCCCCTTCATGCCACAGGGCCTTTGCCAGGCTGTGCCAGGTGGTGGGCAACCTTGACAAGAATACTTGCCCCAGAGTGACAGCACCCTTCTTTCCTTCTCCTCTGGCTAGCTACTCAGGAGTTTTTAGCATCTACATGTAAGCACAGCCAGGTCAGGTCCCCCACTGCTTCTAGGCCCATTACTCTGTATTCTTGCTTCAGAAAAGGACCCTTCCATAATTTCACATTTTTCTGCAGAACTACTTTATGGTCCTTTAAGCTTCCTAAGCCACCTGAGGGCTGAATCCGTGAGGAAGAAATAAAGAAACCCATGGGAGGTGATGGTGTCCTCTACAAAGGAAGAAACTATGCCAACAGAAAAAAACCTCCAGGGCTGGGAAGCTCAGGAGCCTCCCCTGAAGTTGGCTCCAACCTGCTTACACCCTACCCCAGCTTCACCTCGCTGCACCCACATGCTGGCTGACTTTCTTTGAACTTGTTCTTAACGTCATGTTGGCTGCTGTTCACTTACCCAGAATTCAGGAAATAAAACACTGAGAGCTTCTCCGGCAGGGTCTCCGACAACCTCTGGGCATAGTCCACGATGCCGTCGTGCAGATATCGGCTGTTGGTGTTGAGCACCCGGTTCTGTTCGTGTGCGGCTCGGACCACGATAGGGTGGCAGTGCCCGACTGCAGGAGGGCCACCTCCATCACATGGCCGACTCCACTCAGCCAGCCCCGCCAGATTCCCCCCTTCAGCTCCGTCTGCCAACCCATCCGGGCTCCCCTCGTGAAGTTAACGGAGGCAAGCTGGAAAGAGGGGAGCTAGCGATGGGAGTGGGAGCACAGAGATGGTGGTTCTGGGAATGAGGGTCTTGAGAGAGATTCCAGCAGAAGGAAGAGGTGGTCCTGTAGAAATGCTAGCTAGAGGGCCTGGAGGGATGGCTCAGCGGTTAAGAGCACTGACTGCTCTTCCAGATGGACCCCAGTTCAATCGCACCCACATGACAGCTCACAACTGTCTGTAACTCCAAGATCTGACACCCACAGACATACATGCAGGCAAAACACCAATGCAGATAAAATAAAAGCAAAATTATTAAAAAAAAAAAATGCTAGCTAGAAAACCCATGTTTTTAGAGAGGTATTTTGAGACCCTTAGCTGGAGGCGGATGGTCAGCCATAGGAACAGAACAGTTAGTGAGAGCTCACCACAGTGCCAGGCATGGTCAAAGCAAGTTAACGCTAATTAACGCAATTATCCAAAACACCTGGAAGTGAGTGCTAGTTGAATCCTGCCTGTCGTCCAATGAGCAACAAGGCTCAGAGGATTAAGTAATTTTTTCCCCCCTGAGACAGGGCCTCTCTGCAAAGCCCTGGTTGTCCTGAAACTTGCTATGCAGACCAGGCTGGCCTTTAACTCAGGAGATCCGCTGGCCTCTGTCCCCTCATTGCTTGGAGAGCCTTACCACAGTTTCCTGAGGGGAGCAGGCCTGTTTTCATGACCCTGCACAGGACCAAGGGGATCATGCCACATTTGTGGTCATGGCTGGGTGAGCTATACGCCCAGGTTGCTGGGAGTTCCATGTGGAACTTGGACCCCGGGGCCTGCACCTCTGATTCCTGCCCACTTTAGTACAGCCATGCTAGACTACTTTCACAAAGATTTGGGGGTCCCTCACGTGCCCCGAAGGTAGTTCCGTTCAACCCAGGCTGTCAGATTTACGGCCTCGGCCTCCTCTCCTGCCTCAGCAAGAGAGAGGAGGCCTCATACTGACCATGAGCCACATTGTTGATACAGTCCAGGAACTCTCGCCCTTGCTCATCGTACAGGTACTGCCCTTGGCCTCGGACAATCTTAACAGGATCCTCAGGAAAAAAGAGTCTGCAGGAAGAGCTGTGGGGACAGGCAAAGAATGGACAGCCCTGTCTGAAGACCGGGAGTGGGGACCACTCATCACAGCCTCCTTCACTCCTTCCCGGGTTCTGGAAAGGACAAACGCCTGCGGGGCAAGGTGTGGCTTCTCATTCCTAAGAGAACGGGACAGGGCAGCGAGTTGCTGAGACAAAACTGTTTCAACAGCCTTGGCGGCCCTCACAGTTTTGCTTGCACACGCAACAGTTCCTCCGGTCCCGGTGAAAGAGGCTTCGGAATGGCTTCCTGAAGAAAAGCCCCCACGTTAGGAACCCTGAACATCCCTTGCCATCCCCGTGGCCCTGCTGCCCTTGGTAGTGCTGGCAAACTAGCTCCAGTTCTAAGCACCAGCCATCGCCTCCTCTCCACGTGGCACCGAGGGTCTCCCAAACAGACTTCCCCTAACCCTGCCTGGGACCAGACTGCCCACCCCGGCCAGGCCTAGCTCCCTAGGCAGGCGTCTGCCAGGGGCAAAACTCCGCTCCTCAGGGCAGGGGACGCCGCGGAGCTGCGGGGTGACCCACGGTCGCTTTTAACAGGCCGAGAGAGGCGGGGAAGTCAGGGACTCGGGCGGGCACTATGGGCGCCTTCCAAGCCCGCACCCGGTACCTGAGCAGCCGGTGTCTCAGGTCCAGAGTGGCGGCCTTGGCGCGCGGGCCCGCGGCCATGGCGCCGCGCTGTCAGTCAGGGCCCCGACGCTGCGCTCTTGGCCCCGCCTCCGCCCGCCTACGTTCGCTCTGGGTGGGGCTTCAGGGCCGGCCCCGCCCCCAGGAGCTCCGTCCCTCGCGTTCAATTATTCAAGCAGCTGGCGAGCGCGCTCCTTTGGGGTTGGCGGATACTCTGCGCTGGTCCAGGGTCATACCGCCCCCCCTTCTCCCCTCCACCCCCGAGGACTCCCTCCCAGGAATGTGTCCCCAGGTCGCCGGGACGAGAAGGACTCTGGACTGAGGCTGGGCATGCCGGAACAGGTTGCCCTCTCTGCGTTTAAACGTGACGGGGTAAATTACTGGCACCCTGGAAGGCGTTCCCTGCACGTTGTAGGCGAGCTTGGGGCCGCCGCTGGGGCAGAACACCGAGATCACTAGAGATTCATGTTGGGCCAAGCAGGGTGAACTTGACACGTGGCTAGGCGAAGAGAATCTTGCAGTGGGCAGATAGGAAGAGGGTTGGAAAACTGCCGAGTCCTTCCTTATGTACTGTGCAGGAAACAGGCCCACGAAAGAAAGGGCTTTGCTTCCAGGTACGCAGTAGGCCCGCTGAGAGACTGGACTATAACAGGGTCTTCTGGACTCCTAGCACACTGAGTGACTAGAGACCTCTGTGGTCAGGGAGCTGGTTGAGCAGTGATACTCCCTCAGGGGTTGAGCGCCGGGACTTACTGCCTTGATGAACCCTGGAACAAAGGCTTGGGGCTGCCCCTCAGCAGGAGCATGCCAGAAGAGGGCACAAGATCTTATTATAGATGGTTGTGAGCCACCTTGTGGTTGCTGGGTATTGAACTCTGGACCTTTGGAAGAGCAGCCAGTGCTCTTAACCTCTGAGTCATCTCTCCAGGCCCAGCTCATTTCTTATCTCCCCACAAAACTGTAAAAGGCTTACAGCACTTATTAAAGAACAACCTTATATTCTTGCTTTTTTTTGTTTTTTATTGTGGTAAAATATACATTAAAAAAAAAAAACCAAGCCATTTTGAAGGGTACAATTCAGTGGCATCAGTACATTCTCAGTGCTGCATCTTTTCACCAACACCCAGCCACAGAGCCCTTCCATCTCCCCAAACTGAGCGGAGTTTCATGTTTTTAATTGTAAAACTACCTAAGAGTCTGTCTTCCTGCTCAGAAAAGGCCTGTCCTTCCTGACCCTGGCCCCATGCTAAACGTCCTCTGTCCATTTCCTGGCATCTGCCCTTCAAGGCAACACTGGAGGCCAAGGGGGCACAGGCTGAGAGGAGGGAAGGGGCTGAGCTAGACTTGGATGGGGTGGGGGGGCATGGTGCTGCAGGCCTGTAATCCCAGCACTTGCCAGGCTAAGGCAGAACTGCAACTTTGAGACCAACCTAGACTATGTATTGAGACCCTTTTTAATAAGCCAACAAACATACTTAACCCCAACCCTTGCATCTAAAGCAAGGTCTTCTCAGCTTTACCACTGGACAGGAGTGCCCAGGATTTCAGGTGTATGCTAACTTGACTGTCCACTGAATGCCAGGAGTGTCTCCCAATTCTGTGAGAACTCAAAGCCCCCTTTAAGGACGGAAATCAAGCAAGCAGGCTTCCCTAAAGCCTCGGAGCCATCTGTCCAGGGGGACAGCCATCCTGGTGGCTTCTTTTGTGTCCATGGAACAAACACTCAAGGACTCAATAAACAGACTCCTCTCTTCCGGAATTATAGGACTGACAGAGAACTGCCCTCAGTCCTTGAGGCTCATTGGTGAGGCAGGGCATTCCCCAGCGTCTCACTTGGAACCTTGAACAACTCATTCTCTGTCTCCACTCCAGGCTGGCATAGGACTCAGTGGCTCTGCATGTCCCTGCAAGGGTCCAAGGTATGAGTCCACATGGGGGCAGCAATGGTCCAAGAATGGCCTGAGAGGAGAAAGGGAGAGCAAGCAGTTCGGACTTCTACAGCTCTGCTTGCTGTCCACCCACTGTCAGGGGACTGCCGAGCAGATTCCACGAGCTGCCAAGCAATTCTGAAGACAAATTAGGCGACCTCCAAGAGTCTGGGCCCAGTCCCAGGCCTGTCACTCTAGCCTTGCTGTACATCCAGGCTTGAGCAGACGACTACCCACTCCGAGCCTTAGATTTCTTCAGTGTAAAATGGACATAGTAACACCTCCCAGCGCTGCGCCTTTCTTCACAGGACTGTTGACGGGATGAAGTCATGATGTCCTTAGGTGAGAGGAGGAGTGACTTGCTAACTGTAGAGTGTGGTGGGCTCAAGACGCTATGGTGTATCTCCAAAGCAGGCACGGACACCAAGGAGCCACCCTAGTCAGCTTGGCCCACGACATCTGCCTTTTCTCATTCTGGTTCCCGAGTCGACCCAGTCAAGTGGCAGAGAACATGGTCAGCTACTTACTGCCAGCTCCAGAGGGGGACAGAGGTAGGGAGCGGACATAACCTGTGTGTGGCTGGGCCCCTGCTTTGCAAGGAATCCACGTGTGCGCTCTGGAGAGTTTGGCCCTCCTTGGACCTCAGCCTTTGGAGGAATGGGGCCGGAGACACTATTACAGCAGCCTCCTGGTTTTTCTGCACACACAGAAAGAGCTTGGTTTTTTGTCATCTGTGATAATAGGCACATTTGCTGGGCATTTCTCTTCAGCTTCTAAGAATAAGCAGAGGGGAGACATGGACCCATTCTTCAGGACTCTGGCTAATACTTGGTCTTGGAGTGGATAGTGAGGGCAGTCAGCCGTAGGTGTGGGGTGTCTGACCTGTCCTGGGCTCTGTGTGTATTCCATAAAGCTGAATCTTACTGAACCACATCTGATTTTTGAGCATTACTGTCTCATGCTACAGATGAGTGGCAGGAGGCATTATTGAAGATGCTGTAACAAGGGCTAAGAATGTAGCTTAGTTGGTAGAGTGCTTGCTTGGCATGCATAAAGCCTTAGGTTCAAACACAGCACTATATAAATCAGGCACAGCAGTGCACCGCTGTAATTTCAGCACTCGGGAGTAGAGACTGGCAGGCCATAGATTTATGGTCATCTGTTGTAAATAAAATGGGTTGAGCTATATAACGTTTATGATTTATTATTTGCAGACCAACCCCCAACAGTCATCCTTAGCTACCTGGTGAGGCTAGACTGGGCTACATGAAAGCCAGTGTTTATGCTTTTTTATTTTTTGAAGGGCTACAACAAGATCTACTCTCCCACATCTTCTCGTTTAAATATGATATTGTCACTTTCCCCAGTGAGAGGTGGTTCTGTCTTCTTCCCCGTCAGCTGGGTGGACCTCTGACTCTGGCAGGAAGGGGCAGCATATGACTTTGAAGGCTTGGTCACACAAGGTGACACAGCTTTCTAGGAATCCTGCTGCCATGCCGTGAGGAAGTCCAGGTCACGTAGAAAGGTTCTACATAGGTAGATGTCATGGCCACTAGGATTCTTCCAACAGGCACCAACTCACCCTGAGGTGAGTCTGAGAGTGAGACCTGTACAGGTGAGCCCCTGGATCTTTAGAACTGAGAGAATGAACATTCTGAGGCAACAAGTTTGGGGAGTCCTTGCTAAGCATAACAGAAGGGCATACAGGGGCTTAGTGAAATGGCTGGTCGCTGGATTCTTCTGACATGCATGGGTGCAGGACTTGAGCCTATAACCATGAATATATCCTCTGGTTTCTGGGAAAGCCCCTTTTCCATTAAAATGAAACCCAGCCAGAGGTGACCGGGGAAGTCCTCAAGGACAGGCACACCCAGACACATATTTGTGATCTATTACTCACAGCACCTTTACACGGGGAGGGATGTGAGGCCGTGAATGGATCGGGTAGCTGGGAACCTTTGTTAGAAGGGTTTCCGTCACAGGTATATTGTTCAGGCTTGCCGGGGACCAGCCTTTGGGTTCGTGACATCTGTACCATTTACCAGGAGGCCTGTTTCTGCCAGGCTGACCAGAGTTCTAGATGGGAGACTTGGGGCCCATGAGACCTAAGTTCTGAACGGGAGGCCTGTCTCCTTGAGGCTGACACAGGCCCTTTCTGCTCCTGCCCTGGGTGAGGCGGTGAGGAGGCTGAATGTAGCAACTAGTGCCTATGGGTCTCTTCACTGCACAGTCAGGGATCACTGGGCTGCCTGCAGCTGGCTCCATACTGAGGTATTCACAGAGCCCTGCCATGTCTCAAGGCCGGAGGACACAAGCTCCTGTGACAGGGCGGCTTCTGACAGTCTACTGAGCCTGGCTGGAGCACGACCCTCTTGGGTTTCTCTCCATTGCCTTCTCTCCGGTGCTGGACTCTTGAAATCTTCACCTGTCCTGTTGAACACAGGGTCCCAGTGCAGCTGCCTTTGGCAGGGTCCAGAGGAAAGAGGGTACAGCAGTTGTCCAAAAGGGGGGGGGGCGGTTCTTGTTGGACAGTGAGAGGTTGGGGCAAGTGGGGCTTCAGAGAACAGTTATTGTCTCTGCTGATCAGGTGATTACAGGCCCAACTTGGAGTCTGTCCAGCCTCACCTGAGCCAGGCGGTTTCACCTTCGTCATCTTCCCTGGGAAAGCCAGGCCCTGTCCGGGGCCCTCAAGTACAAGTTTTCCCAGAGTGACCTGTCTGCTTTCCTGCTGGCTTCCTGTGCAGACCATCCAGGGGCTGGTTGGCACACTTGCAAATGTTACAAGGCCACAGTTGGCGCATCCCATAAAGAAGATCAATATATTACTGTTTTTTTGTGTTTTTTTTTTACACAAGTTAAAAACGTCCAAATGGATCTGTACAGGTGAGGAGCCACATCTGAGGATCACTGGAAAAGGAGGGAGAGATGGAAGGTGATGGAGGAGCCTGGAGAGGTGCTGTGTTTCTCATCAGCTACCCCTACCTTGCCCATTTCTTCAGGAACAAGTGTCATCCCGCTTTTTTTTCCCAAGCCCCTTTTAGTGGGGGCAGCTGGGATAAGTCCCAGGAGGCTCCCCGATGGCTTTGAACTGGCATGGCCAAATGCCATCCACGACCCAGAGGAACAGCAAGGCAGATGACACACATCAGCCAGGATCAAGTCCTTGACCTTTGTGGCCTTGTGACAAGGTCACAAACATCGTTGGGAAACCTGACTATTCAGTCGCTGTGTGGGACAGTGGTATAGAGACTCAAACCTCTGTGTGACGGTGCCTGGTCCCCCATGTGTCTTCTCTGTCCATCTAACTCTCCCTTCCCAACTCCTCCAGGCCCACCCTTGAGATCCTTTTCTGGGAGGCCCCTTACCTTATGCCAGCAGCCAGGCACGGGCAGCCCGTCAGGGCCCTGGAAGAGAAGAAGGTTTAAGTGCCGAGGGCAGGAGGCTGGTGGCTTGTCAATACCTCCCCCGCCCTTCCTGGGACTTTAGGGACATGCAGTCAGGGAGTTGTTACTGGAAGCCACTGGACTCCAGTGAGGCAGGGCTGGGTGTCTCCTTTGTCTACGGATATAATGTCCCTTCATTTCACTTGTCCTGCCCTCGCATGGTGCTTTGTGGGGATACTTGAATAGTGTCCCGTGGACGTCACTCCTGGCAGACAGAAAGCCATGCCACCCTTTTCATAGGACCGCTGGCACAGCGTCCATTTACATCGGAGCGTGCCCACTTTTCAGGCTTGGGGCAGGAATGCCTCCGAGAGAATGACAGTACAGGAGGTGGCGTCTCTGTAGCCTTTTCCAGTCACTTTGATTAGATCTGGGAGGGAGACAGTGTCATCAGGGTGAGACATGATCAGGAGTGGGCTTCCCTCAGGTGTCCTGGAGGACCACAGAGCTGGAGGTGACCAAAACGTAAAGTCCCTGGGGGACCCTGAGGCAGGAGCACTCCGCTCTGTTCCAAAGCACAGGGTTAGGGAAAATGTATGAGATACCCTCCCTGTGCCCCATCCAAGTACATGCTGGGGCACAGTTTGGGGACCGGAAGATGGGGAGAGGAGAAGAAGGGTAGAATGCACCAGAAGGCAGAAATGAGGAAGAAAGCAGGCAGAGCCAGCAGCCCAAAGCATCCCAGAAGGCCCAGTATTGCACACACAACACACAGCACACAGCGGCCACACTGCATACCACAGGGCAGGGCCCGACGCCCCTCCCAAGGCCCAGGGAGCCCGGTGCCCCTCGCTTGCCTCCACACCCAGGATGTTCCTGTGTTAAAGACAAAGGCTTACTCACTTGGAGGAAGTCTGGGTCCAGGCTCTGTGGAAGCAGGGCTGGGCTTCCTCACCCTCTCGGGTGTCTTTCTGCGCTTGTATCTCTCTCTGTGTATGTGTGTACGTGTGTATGTGTGCACATGACCGTGAAGGTCAGGCCGTCAGACACCTTCTATCTTTTGTTTGGGACACAGTATCCATTGGCCTGGAACTTTGCTAAGTAGGCGGGCTAGCTGGCCAGTGAGCTCCAAGAGATTTGCCTGTCTCTCTACCTTGCCAGCACATACCACCATGCCTAACTTTCCAAGAGGGTTCTGGGAATCTGAACTCAGGTTTTGACACTTGCAAGGCAAGTGCTTTACTGTTTGAGACATGTCCTCAGCCCTGGATGTCTGTACTTGAGATGGGGTCTCTATGTAGCAGAGGCCTCAAACATTCCATTCTCCTGCCTCAAGCTCCTGAGGGCTGGAATACAGGCTTTTTTGCCCCCTCTCGCTAATATCTCAGATCCATCTGGAAGGAGGAGAGGAAAGTGCAGAGGGCTGGAGGAACTCACTGGAGGCCAGAGGACCCAGCAAAGGTCTCTGACTCTGAGTCAGTCTGCCTGCTGCCCAAAGCCCCGACGAGGGTGCCTGGGAGTGAACATCTGGACGGCTTAGTGTGGAGACCCAGCTGTTTCAATTGCCTATTTCTGAACATCACTTACAGACCCTGGTATGTAAATCCTCCAGCTTTCTAGAAAACAGGAACTGAATTGTAGGAGTTTCACTTACCAGGCCTGGCGCATTATCAAGAGCTGTTGCCAGCAGGAAGTGAGGCAGATAAGCAGGTAGCAGAAAAGGAAGAACCCGTGTGTTTACTGAGGGGACTGGGGAATTGGCTAGGCTAGCAGAAAAAGAGATACTGGAATGAAAGGTGCAGGAGGAGAGTGAGAGACTTAGGGAAGAAGGCAGGGTGGCCTGGCTTTCCCAGCGACTGAAGAAGGCCCACCTCACAGTCCAGCCTGGTCTCACAAAGCCCAGAGGAAGCCAGACCCCAGTGAGGTCTTAGGCAGCCATGGTCAGGGAGGGAGAGTGGGGCTGACTCACTGACTCACTGACTTTGTCCTCACCAAGTCTGTCTGTCTGCTGGGCTTCCCGGCAACTAGCCTTCTCCCAGGGTACCCCCCCCCCCCCCCCCCCCCCCCCCCCCCCCCGCCAAATTGCTGATGACTCTGGAAAAAAGCCAGTTCTATTCCTGTCCACAGTCCTCTCTATCCTTACCCAAGGCTGGCCTAAGATGGGTCACCACTCAAGTGACCCAAAGAAGATAGTAACAGGGGTGGTAAATGATTTCTGGCCAGGCCCCAAGACAGGTCACCACTATGTCTGCATCTCTCAGCCACGCCGGTGGGAGTATCAGGACCACAGCACAAGGAGCCGCGATGCTGGCAGTGGCACCTACGGCTGGTCAGGGCTCTATCCTGTTGAGACACCTACCACAGGGCATGGCTGGTCAAGGCCTGGTGGGCCTGGCTCTCCCTTCTGGCCCTTCACTCCTTTCCGGCCAGGAACTCCTCGCTCTCCCTGCATGAGAAGGAGATGGTAGTGTGGCTATGGTTGCCAGGCTGGGGAACCCCTTTTACCACTTCTCAGTGAGAAGCCCCAGGGTCCAGCAGCAACCAGGACTTAAAGCTCCAGCCTCCACCTCCCCACATACTTGGCCCATCTCCCTTCTCCCTTGGCCTCACCTTCTCGCCACGTTCGCTTCGGTCGCCCTTCTCTCCCCTGGGTCCAGGGAAACCCTGACAGATGGATGAAAGGTTAAACCTGAAACAAGGGCTGAGCCTACTTCTCTGTGACCTGATGCCTCTGCCCCTCTCTCATCCATCATCCTCCCCTGTCCACACGTAACTGTGGCACAAACTGCCAGGCTTTGGTTCTTGTCAGCCTATGTGCATGCTGGGTACCAGATGTGCATGGTGGGTAACAGGGGAAAGAGTACTTTTAGGGCCCCAGCTCTGTTCCTGGCTAGAAATCCTTAGGGAGGCAGAGCTGCTGGAAAGGGGCCGTTTCCTCCTGTCACAGCCAGACACAGCTGGTACTGGCCCAGGCTTGGCTGGGACAGAAGAAATCCACAGAGGTTATGTGGCCATCTACAACAGACTGAGAGAGGGTCCCATGTGCTCTCTGCCCTTGGCTCAGTTTCCTCTACATTCAGCTCTTAATCTAATGTCCATCTGTCCAACCTGATGACTAAGCATGCAGCAGGGCCCAGGCTGCAGGCTGGATGGTGGGACAGAAATGGATTTGGTGTGTTTCTTCTCTTACATCATGCTGTGGAGTGTGGATGAGACTCTTGCTCTGATATGAACTTATGAGACAGGCATGGTAGGGCAGTGGGGGATGGGCTGTTCCCATAAGGGGTGGGCACCCTGGGAAGCTCCTGAGCCAGGTTGCTGCCCAGCTGGGTGGAAGAGGGCTGGGGCTTGCTAGACAGAGAAAATGGCGGGGCTTTTAGATGCCACACTGAGCTCCAGGCCTTCTGAAAGGTAGCCGAGGCTACCCCACAACTACATATAGTCTCTATAGCTTCACCCCAGTAGCATCCATGGGTCCAGAACCTGAATGGGGTTCAGCAGGGTTACTTTCCAGCTCTGTCCCATCAATGGAAGGTGACACTCCCTGCCGGGAGCTGCCCAGTCCCTCTGTTCCTAGCCTGTGTTTGCTCATCATGGCAACAACACGTTCTCCTAGGTCATATGGATCAGATAGAACCAAAGAGATTTGCTTGCACCACTAGAGGGAACTAGATCTTCCTACTGTATTTGGTTCCAGGAAGCTGCTTGTCTGGATGGGCTGGCTGGACCAGCTCTCTGGTGATTCCCACACTAGATGAGCAAAGACCAGAGAGGGAAAGGGCTGGGTGGTGTTGACATGGCTGTGCCCAGGAAACATACAGTTAATCCCTAGACTTTTCAGTTGTGAGTCATTTTAATCAGGTTTGAACTATTTTTTGTTTATACAGCATTACCAAAGGAGGCCTGATGCAATCAACACCAAGCTAATGCTTTCTCTTGTCTCCTCACAACACCGCCCTAACCGAGGTCTCACTGCCCGGTCACGAATACATTGCAGCAGTCTCCTTATTGCTCTCCCACCTCCCTTTTACAAGCTATCGTCCATCTATACACCCACCCACCCATCCATTCCTTCCAATCACCTCTCAGCTATCATTCCCATCCACCAATCCATCTTCAGCCAGCCAGCCGCCATCCATTCATTCGCTCATCCATCCGTTAATCCATTTCCCACCATCTCTTCATCATTCTACCCTTCATCCACCATCCATCCATTTCCTTCAGCCATCATCCATTGTCTATCCTCTGCCGTCTGTCAACCCATTAGCCCATCCATCCATTCTCTACTCATCCATCCACTTCAAGTTTCCATTGCCCCTCTGTTGTCAATCTATCACCCATCCCCAGAGTGACTCTAGGAGATGTCACTGGACTCAGTCCTGAGGACACAGGGTAACCAGTCAGCAGCAGCCTGGGGGATGGGCCAGACCAACCTGGGCTAACCAGGTTGCGCTATGCACGGACGACACAAGAAGACACACATGAGGGCCCAGGGCACTCACAGTGAATCACAAGAAACTTACATCAAGTCCTGGCTCCCCGGGTCTGCCCTGAGGAGAGAAGAGAGGGCATGAGGGGGTGTCAGACACTCAGATGCTGGGAGTTCAGCACAGTGGCTGGTAACAGATAAGGGGAAGGGTGGGACAGTGTCACAGAGACACGGTACTTAGTCCTCTGGGGTGCAGGGACTCAGTGGGGTTCAGGGGATGATGAGCCCCAAAAGCTGATGATGGGTATGTGGTCGTGGTGGATAGGGTCCTCAAGATAAGGTAGTTACCTTCTCTCCTTTGGTTCCTGGCAACCCAATAAGGCCCGGTGGGCCAACTGGACCCTGGGTGGAAAAGGAGAGGGTCAGCAGGCACGGTGGGAATAGGACGTAATACTCTAAGACCAACAAAGCTCATGACACTCACAGGCAGGCCATGAGGGCCTCTCTCACCCGATGCACCCTTCTCTCCCTTGGCTCCATCCAGGCCCTGGAAGGGAAGAGGAAACCAGTCAGGGGAAGAGGCGGGCCAGGCAGGACAGGAAAGCTTGGGTCTGTGCGAAGACAGAGGTGGGCATGGCAGGTGGAAGAGAGATAGAGTCTAGGTTATGTCAGGCATGGCTCCAGTTTGCTCCATGGAGAAAAAATGAGCGTGTGTACTACACGTGTGTACATTTTCCCTTCTTCTACACACATGCTCCCCCCCACTCCATGATGGCTATGGTCACCATCAAGCTACAGACACTTTGCCTGACCATCATCATCTCCTTGAAGGCCAGCCTTGGACCAGGACTGTCAGCAAATACGTCTCCAAACAATGGTGTGTTGAAGTTTGGAACAAAATAGGATCAGAAGCAGTGCTTGGCTGCTGCATCAAGTTCAGGGTTCTAGGGGACTCTCAGCAGAGTCCCCCTCAGGACCTCTGCGCTGGGGAGGGAGAGGTTAGATCCTGTATGACCAGAGGTGAGGCCAGCTAGCTACTCTTCCACTCTGTGCTCGCTTCCCTTGCAGCAGGCACACGGCACAATGCACTTGCGCATCGACTTGATCAGATGCATACCAAACCCAAGACTTCAAGTCCAGGCGGTGGACAGTCAACGTTATAGATTTGCATGGGCAAGAGTTGTAGAGGGGATAAGGAATGGAGAACAGAGGAAGGTGGGGGGAGGGGAGGCTGATGTAGTGGGAGATGGGCTGGGGGAAGAGGGAGACAGATGGGGTGCTTAGGAGAAGGAAAGGACAGAGACTCAGACATGGGGTGGGCCTATTCTGGGTGCATTGTGTAGGACACTGGGAATGGAGGGGCTGAGCAGGGGCCTCACTCTTTTCTGAATGAGCAGAGTGTCTCTGCACTCACCTTGGGACCCTGGATCCCCTGCAGACCCTGGAGAAGGAAAGAGGAGATCAGTAGGGCTGTGTGGCTAAGAGAAACCTTTAAGGCTGACACTTTCTTGGGTCAGGCTAGTTATGGCCCTGACCAGAGCTCTGCCCTCTTGACCTGATGTACCCCTGCTCCCCACATGGAAAAACCTTCTCTCCCCTAGACCACCACTCCCAGATCCAGGTTCACTCCCCATTTGGTATCCCAGCTGCTGTAGGTTAAACTGTCCTTACCATGGGTCCGGGAGGGCCAGGAGGACCGGGGGGCCCTGGCTCCACTATGATCTGGGCCTAGGGAGGGTTAGAAATGGATTAGTAACTGTTACACCTCATCTGCTCTCTCTATGGAGCCCCCCAACATGCTTCCAAGCACTAGTGGTTGCTATACCCTGAATCCCTGGACAAGCTCTTTTCTGCTCCCAGAAGGGTACAACTCGGTGAAGGACCCTTGTTTTCTGCCAGGGTGGGGGGTGGGGAAGATACGGTCTGAGACTCCATCATTCTCCCATTCCCACTGCCCTGTACTGGGTCAGGCCAGGTAGCTTCTCAATGACCAAGGCTCAGGGATCCCACCAGGTTTGGGCTGGCTGTGGGGGAGCTCCCGGCCTCAGTTTTCCCTTACCAGGCTGTCCTGTAGGTGGTCGGATGCTGACTCTCCCTTCTCTCCCTTGGGACCATCAGCACCCTGTGGGCAGAGTGGCCTGTGAGCTCTTCTTGTTCATCCTAAGGTCACCTCCCCCGCCACCGCACTCAGCGGCCTCCCTCCCCTCCACCGGCAGTGGTGAGTTGGCCTGCTCTGTTTAAGGCAGTTTACCCCAAATCACATGCTCTGTGGAGCGACTAGAGCAGTCAATGGTATAGACAAACTGTGTCTTGTGGTGCAGCAAGCAGCTGAGGATTCAAAAGCCTGTGCCAGCTCTAGCTGAGCCACCCTTTGGGACCCACATAAGCTGTGAGGTGACGGGTCCCTAGAGGCTACTTAGCACCCTGCAGCTTTTCTTTTCTTTTTCTGGCGAGATAATTTTACTTCCTAACACAGCAAACATATAGGTCAGATACGTGCTCAGCTTGCACATCTATGAGCAAATGTCTCCCGTGTCACACCGGCTTTGAGGGCTAACGTAGTAAAAGTAGTAAAAGCTGTCTTGGTTGAGGCCTGAAATGTCTGCGTGGCTAACCTGCATCCCGCAGCTTTTCTAATGAGGCCCCAGGGGCAATAGAAAAGCTACTGGCAGTGGTGGCTGTTAGCAGTGAGAAAACTGAGACCTGGGGAGATTCAGTTGGGGTGCTGTGCTCCAGGCCTGAAAGGTAGAGCAGCTTGGGCCACCTGGCCACCCAGCTAAGTGGTTTCTGCCAGGCTGGGCCTCTCTGCCTCACCTGCAGGGCTCCCTGTGGGCCTGGTGAAGTCCTTTTACAGCTGAGGTTGTAGAAGCTGAAGGACATGCATGTGAGGACCCCTGACCCTGCCAACATCAGCAGGTCCCTAGGGTGGGTCTTTATCCAGCTACCTACCGGAAGGCCTGACAGGCCCATTTCGCCTGTTTCCCCCTTGGGTCCAGCTGGCCCAGGCTCTCCTGGGTCTCCTTTTGGTCCCTTGGGACCCTGAAAGCCACCAGAAAAAGGAGTCAGTGGAGGTTGGGAGGTTGGTAGGCATTCTCTTCAACCCCGATCCCTGTGGGCCCCTGAGCTTAACAGTTCCGACCATACATCATACCTTGTTTGTCCGTCCATCCATCCATCCATCCATCCATCCATCCATCCATCCATCCCCATTCATTCATGTCCCTTCCCACCTCCATCCTCTCTCTTTTTTGGCTATGTAGCCAAGGATAACCTTGAATTCCTGAACCTTTTACTCCCACTTTCAAGGGGCTGGGATTACAGGTGTGTGCCAGCCCACCTGACCTTACATTCCACCTTTCGCTAGTGAGTCTTCACCTCTAGCCCAGGTTGCAGAGAGCACAGGCTGAGTACAGCAGGGGAGCAATGGTGACGCCCCACCTCTGCTTCCCTGCGTGCTTGGGGCAGCATGTGAAGACTGAGGTGTTCCTTCTGGGATGCTCATGAGGCCAACTTTTTAAAAAAATCTTTAATTAAAAATCTCATTTATTCCTATTTTATGTGTATGGATGTGTTTTGTCTGCATGAATGTCTGTGTACCACATGAGTGCAGTGCCTGCAAAGGCCAGAAGAGGGTGCTGGATTCTCTGGGACTGGAGTGACACAGGATCATGAGCCTTCTGCAAGAGCAGCAAGAAATATTAACCACTGAGCTGTCTCTCCGGTCTCTCACATACATTTCTTATTTATTTAATTTATTTATTTATTTATTCATTCATTCATTCATTTTTTTTAAGTGGTGATGGGACTTGAACTCATGGCCTTCTGCATGCTAGACAAGTGCTTCACTAGAGAGCTATACCTCCAGTCCCCATGAGGCCAGCTCTGTGTGTCAGAAGCTTTGAGTGACAGTATTCCTTCACTCAACCAATTATGACTTGTTCAAGATGGACCCAGCAGTAAAGATTTATCCAGATATTGAGTGACACCTGGAGAGATGCTCACTGATGTGTAGTTAGGAACACACACACACACACACACACACACACACACACACACACACACACACA